GCTTCTTACTTTTCAGAGGTCCAATATTGTTCTATGTACAATCCTTGTTTTATTGATTGCATGTAATATTCTCATTTTCTGAGATTGTGGATTTGGGGTTTTCATGAGCTGTAAGCCATAATCATCACAATTATGACAAATCACAGCTTGAACTATCTTGCTTTGCATGTAATGAGTCTAGCTCATATATTAGTTTCATCTTTTAAGTTGCATGACTGAAATAAATGAACTTTTGCACGATATTCTAATTTTTCAAGTTTCACCTGTAATTAATATGATTATTAAAATGTGTAGTAATGTGTAGATTAAATATAACTTTTTCTAGATAAGAATGGATTCTAGTAAAAAGGATGATATTCCTAGAACATAAATGGTGTTTGAACTTAATACTGAGAACCACCAGATGTCACTATAGGTCATATTAAAAATCATTAGGCTAGAAAAAGCTTTATAGTGTAACAAAAACTAACAGTAGTAACAAAAGAAAAAGGAGAGATAAATTAATTGATATTGACTTCGCAACAAAGTATGAGTTTTCAAATCTTCATTTAAATCATGTAGAGACATTTTAATAAAAATCCAGAAACTTGTTTTATAATGCTGTTCGTAGTTTATGGTCATTCTGGTTTTTTATATTTATTCTGCACTTGTGGAAATAATTTATGTTTTTATTTGGTTTCCTGCTTTTATAGGTACTGACTAGGTCCTGGATTTTGTTGGTACTCCAAAGGAGTCACATTTGTATTGCTATCTATGTCACCTCACTGGCAGTGCTCTTGACAGTGTGATGAGAGATTTATGATTATGACAGTAACATTTACATCTGCAGCATCTCATTCCTGCCTTGCTTTTGGTTCTATTGACAGTGAAAAAAATATTACTCATACATAACCTGGATTAGTTCCAGAATCTATCAGTTTAAACAGTTTAAATAGGTGTCAACCAATATGGTCGGGGTGGATGACATCACCATCCACATCTATACATACCCTTCCATTTACCCAAAGCGCTACCTCACTCCCCACATCCTATTGAGTGCAGACTTGTGGGTTTATCTGATGACTGACCGTATTGTGGTGGATGCCAAAAGAGAGTATATACTGCTAAGAGTGCCAATAGACAATAGCATTATTGTAACATTGCACTTCTAAAAGGATGAACGTACATACACTATATTGCCCAAAGTAGTGTTCCAATCACCTCCTCCAGGTGTATAAAATCAAGCACCTAGGCATGCAAACTGCTTTTACAAACATTTGTGAAAGAATGGGTCACTGTCAGGAGCTCAGTGAATTCAAGCGTGGTACCGTGATAGGTTGCCACCTGTGCAATAAGTCCATTAGTGAAATTTCTTTGCTACTAAATATTTACAGTCAACTGTTAGTGGTACTATAACAAAGTGGAAACAACTGGGAACAACTCAGCCATGAAGTGGTAGGCCACGTAAAATGACAGAGTGGGATCAGCGCATGCTGAAGCACACAGTGTGCAGAAGTTGCCAACTGTCTGCAGAGTTAAAAGCTAAAGACCTCCAAACTTCATGTGGCCTTCAGATTAGCACAACAACAGTGCATAGAGAGCTTCATGTAATGGGTTTACATGGCCAAGCAGCTGCATGGAAACCTTACATTACCAAGTGAAATATAAAGTGTCGAATGCAGAGGTGTAAAGCACGTCGCCACTAGACTCTGAAGCATCCACTAGAGTGATGAATCACTCTTCTTTGTCTGGAAATCTGAAGGACGTGTCCTGGTTTGGTGGTTGGCAGGAGAACGGTACTTGCCTGACTGCATTGTGCCAAGTGTAAAGTTTGGTGGAGGGGCATTATGGTGTGGGGTTGTTTTCAGGGGTTGGGCTTGGCCCCTTAGTTCCAGTGAAGGGAACTCTTAAGGCCTCAGCATACCAAGACATTTTGAACAATTTCATGCTCCCAACTTTGTGGGAACAGCTTGGGGATGGCCCCTTCCTGTTCCAACATGACTGCGCACCAGTGCACAAAGCAAGGTCCATAAAAACATGGATGAGTGAGTTTGGGGTGGAGGAAATTGACCGGCCTACACAGAGTCCTGACCTCAACCTGCTAGAACACCTTGGGGATGAATTAGAGTGGAGACTGTGAGCCAGGCCTTCTGGTCCAACATCAGTGTCTGACCTCACAAATGTGCTTCTGGAAGAATGGTCAAACATTCCCATAGACACCCTCCTAAACCTTGTGGACAGCCTTCCCAGAAGAGTTGAAGCTTTTATAGCTGCAAAGGGTGGGCCATCTCAATATTAAAACATACAGACTAAGACTGGGATGCCAGTAAAGTTCATGTGCGTGTAAATGCAGGTGTCCCAATACTTTTGGCAATATAGTATATGTATGTTTAAATTATGGTGTACATGTTCACATTTCATACCAGTTGTGCATCTTTTTTGTCTTTTACTTATGTGCTACAGTTTCTAGAATATGTTTGTTCTTGTTTGTAATATGCCAAAACTCAATAAAACATATCCTAAAAAAAAAAAATAGTAGTGCAGTAGTTATGTTATTGTCTCAGTTTATGATTATTTCTGGACAATAAGACTCATTATGTACGGCCAGCTTGGTGATCATAAGAAATTATTTTGGAATCAGCTGCTTTTGCCATTAAAAGAGCATAAAAACACCAGGATCACAACTTACCACAACAAATGGATAAGTGTTTTTAAGTAGGATTTATCTACATAATAAATCAAGGGCATGATGAAAAAAGTAAATCTACTATTAAATCTTTATGTACCAATCATAACTCTATGCTGTCTGGCTGTCTCTTGGTATATTCTATGAGATATTTCAAGGATCTACAGTATTTCCACCCTCTTTCTGCTTGTTATTTGCAGTGTTGCCTGTCCTGACTAAGAACACAGTGATCATATCACTCTGTTTTATTGTAAATAGTTTTTGCATACAAACATAACTGACAGTTGGAATAGAAATATTTGAAAGCAAATCAGTAGGTTAAATGAACAAAAAGTGAAAAACTGGCCATTTTTTACCTTGCATTTCTGTGGTGTATTTATCGAGCTCTGCCACACAAAAAAAAAAACCTTTCTGCAGACTTTGCTGAAATGTTACTTCCATTTGATTATGGTTTTGCAGCAATTTATGAAAAAACAGCCAAGTCAACAAAAAGATTTTGCAGTATAGGGGAAACAACATTAGTTATCAATTGCAAAAAAGGAAGGCATCGAAACAATATTTTATATTATTAGGTAATAAAACAATGGGTGACTAAAGTCATTTGATGACAGCAAAAAAGTATCCATTCAACCAAAAACATGCTGCTTATTGCAATCCAGAATTAATAACTTTTTCACTGCTAATAGTGTATTTTAACTATCGGAAAATTAACCATTGATAAAAATCGTGAAGCGTATTTTGCAATGGACAGTCAGAAATATCTGTAATCAAAGTTTTGGACCTAGCACTATGAAATTGTTATTATACTCAGCTTGTGGTCAAAATACAAATTCTACCTAAATTGCTAACATTTAGGATTTCACCTACCTATAAATACATAAATTAATAACAATAATAAATAAACATGATTAAAGCAAGAATTGTAAATACAATGCATATATTGTCAGATTTTTGGCACATAATGGTTTCTTGAAAAGGCAAAGGAAAATAAAAAAAAAAAGAAATTCACTACTTAAAGAGGCTGTGCAACTAAGACAGCTCATTTTGACAGGGGTCAGTCTATATAGCCAACAATAACCAATGACATTCAAACAGATTTGAACATGTCCCTAGTTTGTTTAGTAGTCGCCCTACATCACAAGATCATTTAATATTAAAATTTGCCCAGTGATGGGCTTTAATTGACTCATAATGCTTATACATTGTGTAGGCATGTTCTGCCGTTGTCACCATCAGGAAGCCTACCCTCAACAATAACATTCAGCCACTGATCAAACACATTCATGTAGGCAGGAAGTGGAAATCAGGTGGCTGGAGGAGATTAACAGTACGAGAGGAATTTAAAAAAAATATGAAAAGGTGTTTTATCAGCAAAAAGAAATATGTATTTTATGATGCACTGTCAGTTGCCAGTTAGGGTTTAGATCTACATTAAGAATACAATTACTAAAGTGAAATTCAACCCCAAAATATTTATGATGGCAAATATATTTTACAGCACGTTTATGGTAGTTTTATGTCATTGATTCTGCAGTAGGTCTTTATATAGAATCTATTTCCTTGGGGGAAACCAGAAAATATATGGCTTTTTCAGTTGTCATGGGAAAAAGGGGCTGGGAAGAGATAACCCTGCAAAGGTCCCAGACATAAGTAGAGGTACAGTATAGCCAATAGCATTTCTTTTTAATTGAAATTCACTTTGAAGGGGAATTTCTGGTTCTATTTTTTTTTTAAGTGGAAGTTCTGCTTTAAGGACTTGTACCCCACTCCCCACTAGGAATTGGCACCTTTGGGGAATGGGGAGGATCTGGTACCCGATTTTGACAGGTACCCACTTCCACTTCTGCTCCGTCCACCTAGGCGATTGGATCGGAAGTTCTCCCCCCCCCCCCCCGCAGTCTTCTGGGACATGTAGCAGGTCCCAGAAGACTATTGGACCATTCACAATGCCCAGCACTGTTTGCGCATGCACAATGGTAACCTGGCTGTGAAGCCACAAGCTGTCACAGCCAGGTGTCCACAGTTAGGATGCTGGTGCTGGGGACTGGGGATGGGAACACCGCTGGATCAAGAGACAGGTAAGTGGCTGTTTTTTAAAAGTCAGCAGCTACAGTTTTTGTTGCTGTTGACTATTTTTTTTTTTTTTTACAGGAGACTGGAGCTCCACTTAAGTACATATAAAACCTAACTAACCTATACATTGCCTGCTAAATCACTTTTTATTCTAAACAGTTGCTAATTTTTCATAAAACATTTGTTTCCAACTTTTTTATTCTCGGGTACATCTCAGTACTGCTGATCCAGTGCAGCCTCTTGGCCAGGGGCGGACAGACCATTTGGGAACTTGGGCACTGCCAGAGGGCCCGGGGTCAGTATGGGTCCCCATGAGATGCCCCTTGGTACCTTTAATAGGCTTTTTTGGGTGTGGTTTGAGTGTGGGCAAGGACACAGGGGCCCCATGATCCCCTATTGCCCGGGGGCCCCATGAGTTGTCAGTCCGCCCCTGCTCTTGGCAGTAACTTCTTGTCCACATGTATGCATTCCAACATTGGCTGCATGCCATGTCTCATGGTGGGTTTCCTTATGGTAAAAATAATGGACCATGCCTGCATAATGTATGTTGAAATGGCCACTTGTAGGCTCCACTAGAAGGTCATGTGAAAGGAAAAAATAAATGAGCGCAGTTGTAAGACAGAGGAAGAGTGTTGTCACCCTATAGCAGAAGTAACTTTGCCAGGTAGTAATTTATTGAAAGATGTAGCATTAACAATATTAAAATTACTTTTAAAATTACATTAAGATGTTAAAGCCTATATGAGATTTTAGATACTTTTAAAATAAAATGCTACTACTTTGAATATACAGTGTTTTAGGAATATTAGGGAGATGTATGATGAATTATTTGTACATCAGCGATACAATTCTATCAGTATAGTTAATGTTGAATGTATCTGTTCTGTCACTTGAAATTAGACTGTTTAGAATACATTTATAAAATCCATTAACAGTGCATGGACCTGCGAAGTAGATGTATTGGGTTTAGTCTCCAGTGATCTGTAAGGGTCTTCAAAACTTTTAGAACGAACACGCAAAAGACACTATAGTGCTTATTTTGAGCATTCAAAACCAAAATGTAACTCAGAAAGTATTTCAGCCACCTTAGAACCTGACAAAGACACCTTAGGTAGGGAGATGAGGAACTGTGGTGAGCTATCTGCGCTGCCACAGAATGTGAGCATTATTAAATTACACTGATAATTGGGTGTGGATTGCGCCTACTCACAGTATACACAAACACACATATGCTGCATTCCTTGTAATCACAAAATACTTAATACTAATTAGAGTGGCACAGAGGGGAGTCTTACAAACATACAGCAGTTCCTTTTTTAACATTGAATTTCATTAGACATGCCTTTCTCTGTATAGAATATAGGAAGACGGCCAACATTTTGTCTGATCCTACCTTAAGGAAGAATTTCATTAAATAACAAACCAGCAACTGTTAAGGCAAGCAACATGATCAGGAGTAGGGATGAGTTAAAGTTTGGGACAAACTCATCCGTAATCAGGGGTATGTAATGTACAGCACAGATTACAAATTACAGTTGTCAGGACTATATAGCATAAATCACAGCATATGCAGTGCAGAAATGTGTGCAATGCACAACGCAACTTATAGAATGCATAAATCAGAAACAAGATTTGGAATTTACTATTATTATTTTAGGTATGTACATTGTAGTATATATACATAGCACATTGCCTTGTGCTGCACAGTGATGAGGCACACCTGGGTCGGTAAGGTAAGTTAGTGTGCTATTCAGAATAAATGGGACCACGTAACAACATCAAAAGTAGCATGCAGTGCCGACAGTTGTGGCGGTGCACATGGGAACATGCTGATTCTTGCAAGGGGCAGTGTGGGCCTTAGGGCTTCTTCACACTTGTGCAGAAACTGGCATTTTTTTTTTCTGCACTGGAAACTTGTTTGCAGACTGGAATATAGGTGGCAGTTGAAGACAATTGCTGTGTGGAAAAATGCAAGCTCTCAGCACTGAGCGCATAGAAATCAATGAAATGTCACTTTTGGTTTAAAGTTTAAAAAAAAATGAAAAACATAAACAGTACTTGGCATTGTAAAAATGCAAGACACTACCCCAGACCTTCCTCATTACCAAGCCCATCCAGCATGGACACCAGCCTGGACAGGAAAACAGAACATTTCTTGAGTGGCTAGTCTGATTCAGCCTTTAGAAGGCAGGGGAAGCCAGGTACTGAGGGTTCCAGGATCCACCAGGATCCAGCAAGTAGAGACACAGCTCAGAACCAGGGGATGATGCAGCTGGACAGTCCATGGAATCCAGAACTGTCGGTAGATATAGCTACAGAACTTGAATCCAATTGCTAGAATGTTTAAAAAACAATCTTCCCATGAAATTATATGTGCATTTAATGTATTTTATGCATGGCATTCACCTGTAAAAGCCTCCCTTGTGTAGATATCCAAAAGCCTGAGACTGTTGCTGGGTGCCAACATCTTGGTTGTGATGTCAGCAGCCCCAGCAGACTCAGAAATGTTACACCCTATAGTATTTCCCCTCACTTCTTCCCTGGTAGCTACATAAAGTACATTGTATTATGTATGGAGGAACAATGAGAGGCAGAGGAGCTGGGCCAGCACAAAGAGCAATTAGACACTCCCATAAGAGGAAAGGACTATGACTCGCAAGGAGGGAGGGGGCTGTGCTAGGGAATTCATTCTCCCAGAGTAGTCAGTTTTTTCACATCAAATAAAAAGTGAATTTAAAAAACATTGATGGAATGGGGAAAAAAACAGCAAACAAGCATTTAAAACATTTGACCTTTTGGAGCAATTACCTTTAAAGTTGGTAATAAGGTCTCTTTAAATAAATCTAATGGAAAATAAAAAAGTATATGTGTTTATATGGTATAAATAGTTACATAGTTAGTCTGGCTGAAAAAAGACAAAAGTCCATCCAGTTCAACCATAAAAAAAAAAAAGTTATAATCCTATACCCACAGTTGATCCAGAGGAAAGCAAAACAAACCTAGCAAAGCATGATCCAATTTGCTCCTGCTGGAAAAAAAAAATCCTACCTGATCCCCCGAGAGGCAATCGGATATTCCCTGGATCAACTTTACCTATAAATGTTAGTATCCAGTTATATTCTGTGTATCTAAGAAACAATCCAGGACTTTTTTAAAGCAATATGAGCTATAAAATAATTATGAGGGTTTCAAATGCTGTCATCCCTGTAGCTTCATACTTCTTATTTTGACCATCTTAAAAAAAAAATCCTGTATGGCCAGTATAGCTCTAGAATATCACCAAACCAAAGAAAAATTCTAATAAAATAAGAAGATCCAGATTCTGCAATATATAATAAAAGTTTATTCAAATAAAATCCAAAAACACAAACCAAAAATTAGGATAATTAGGATCAATCCCAGATAATAGGTGAGCCACCATCTCACACAAGTGTATAGCCTATTTTTCAACCAGTGAAATTGCAATGTTTTACCATTTTTCACAGAAACAACTATTTTGATCACTATCCTGGTTTATAAAGGTTTGTAGAATAATATTTTTTTCTACCTATGATGCAGAAGTTTGGTTCCAGGTGTTTTCCACTTTACCAATTTTCCTAAAAACTCTCACAACTCAAAAGTGGGGAATTGAAGAATTTTTAGTCTTTTTGATTTCTTTTATTTTTAAAATTTTCTTTAAAGAGATGAATACTAGAGTATTCTAAAAAAAAACTAGTTGCCAATTCAATAGTGACTTAGAGTGCCAATAGGCCCCCTCCCCCTGTCTTTTCAATAATGATCCCACCTATAAGACCACAAAAGACTTATAGGGCATGAATTCCTTGCCAGTTATGATGTCATTGATTTAATAAAGTAGTATTCTTCCATCATCAATCTGGAGTATAGATTAGATTACATATCTGCTTGTATTTTGCCAGATTTTCAGGTCCACAAAAATCACATTTTTTTCTTGTAACTATCTTGTTCTTTCATCCATTATACTGGATGAAATTTCAATAATGTGTCATAAATGAAACAATACCACTAATAAGGTGTAATGAGAAACACGGTCAATGAACATGAATGACATTTCCTCTACAAAATGAATTCACTATACTGTCATGTTAGAATGCTGCTTGTCTATAGAGGGCAGTCTTGGTATACTAAATCATCAAGCTGCTATGAAAATGTGCTCAGTTGCTTTATACCTGAAAAAAATGAGCAATATAACTTGGGATAAACAAATAAGTGTACAAACTCTTACCAAAATCATTTGTCTGTTCAAATTACACAAATTTGCTTTTTTTGTTAACAGTAAAACATTCCTTGCTTCAGATAATGGCTGTAAAAAGACTGTAGTGTAGCACAACTGTCGGCAAATACAAGCATATGCAATTCTCTGTTTTTATATGCAGAACAATTATAAAATACATCCTCTTTTTAATTCCCAAGAAAAAAAAACATAGTCACTTTCTATTAGTAAAACTAGTATAAAAAGCCTCGAGACAACATTCATTTTATAAAGCTGTATTTGCACATAAAATGTAGACTTTCTCCAGAGACCATACAAAGTCTTTCTTAAACAAACATCTGTACAAAGCAAAGTCTAAAAGGCTGGTGTAAATGCAAATTTAATGTCTGTCTTAAAAAAGATGTGTACAAAAATTAATTACTTATAAAGGAAAACAAGAGTTTTGACTATTGTAGGAAGAAATCAAAATTATGTGTGCTATCAATTTTTAATTAGATTACATGAAGATTGAAAATGTGCATTAGTCACTTTACGCTTGTTTAATATTTTAGGAAAGTGTGTACTGTAAGAAAACAAATCACAAACATCGGAAACCATCTAACATTGTTGAAAAGTTTCAAGATATATTGCGGTTTTAATTAAATGTTAAGAGAAGTCAAATTAACACGGCGCTTCATGGAATGATGTATAGCTGTACCTTTAACCATCTTTCTTAAAACTGGAGTACATCCTAAAGTTTTTATTCTCAAAGGGCTGCTTTGTAACAACAGTTTCTGATATGATAATGTTACAGATCAATCATTATTTCAGTTGGGTAGAGTTTATTTTATACCCTGATTTTACTGTAAGGCAAATAAAAGTGAAAGCTAATGAGATACTAGATGGCTGTTTGCTGGGGATAGCATCAATATCTTTCCTTTGCTCTAGTTTTGTGCTCTAGTTTCTGTAAATCAAATTATTCCTCCTGGGAAAATCATATAAATCAAAGCAATATAGTATACATAAAGGGATATTATAGCAATTTTAAGCTTTTTTTTAAAAAAAGTGAATGTAAGTTTGAGCAGCCTAAAGTGGAACTCTGCTCATTTAACATTATCAGTTGGATCACTAATCCTAAAGATCGCTGTTCCTGAAAAAAGCAGGGTAATGATTTTAGAGACTCGTTTCATGTGCATGCCCACAGACGTGGTATTTCTTATTAACAACGAGAAAGCACAAATGGCTGTTCTGAGTGCCAGTGTGATGTAGCATAGCTCTTATTCTTGCAAGAAAACAGCTCTAGGGGCCCCTTGTCAAGTAAGAAAAACTTT